GGATTAAAAAAAAAAAGATCTCTGCTATGCATTTCTTTTTTCAGCTCATTAATCAGCTGGAAGATTGCAGGGCATCGGAATCTATGTTATTAATGAGCTCCATTTGGATACTGAAAAAAACAGCTAAAAAAAAACCCCACACATATTAGTCCAATTAAGATTTCAATTAAGCAATTCAAAGGTCAGAATGAGGGTTACAAAAACCTTTACTCTAGTCTGACTGGCAAGGCTGTTACTTGATACCAGAACAGGCCGTGGGGACCCCCCATCCCTATCCCAAGCATCCCCAGTAATGCCCAGAAGCCCCCGAGTCAGTACAGGTACCCTTCCACACCCTTTAATTGAAAAAGCGGCTACACCAAGACCGACTGTGACTCGTGTTCGCTCCCCAACAAACAGGAAAAAAAACTGCTTCGCCGATTCTAGAGCAGAGGCCGACGATCCAGCCACAACGACACCAAGAAACAAGGTGACAGCCATCGCCCGAATCAAGCAGTGGAGAGGGGAGGTTGCGGGTTCAGATCCAGTACAGGGCTGTAGCCCTTAAAGGCGCTTCACTTGAATTGCTCGTCCAAGTGAATCCCCAGTACATACAGTACAAAGCGGGGTTTTGTTCTTGGCGACGATCCCGCACCTCAAAAAGGTCGACCCCCAAAGAGGGCGTGACAGGGCCGAGAGATGCAGTTCCCACATGCAGTCAAGAACTCTTTCCCAACTCCTCCCAGGAACCAGAACACCCCATCCTGTCACGACGGGCCAAAGGAAAGCAAACAAAGAAGAAGAAAAAACTGGGGGTTTTTTTGCAAAGAAAATGCACAGGAGCTGTGTTTTGCGCCACTAGAGTGGAGCTCCACGTTACAGCCAATTTCACAAAACCTGGATGAAGAAAGAACACGTACTGTGGTGTTTTTACACCCAGCAAGCACCCCCTTCGACAACATCTCCCGTTTCCCGTGGCAACGAGATGCTGCTGGTTTCCGACACAAGAGCAGGAACCGACAGAGGAGGGCAGAACCAGCTCGCAGCTCCGGAAAGACACTCAAGCATCTCGGACGCTCTCCCAGTGTTCCCAGTTTTCCCCCACACTACAGCACTGCTTCCCACACCTGCCCTGGTCTAGTCTGGTCTGGTCAGGCCCACGTGTCTGCCCCCCGCGCCTGTCCCAGAATCCACC